CCTTAGCCTCAAACTTGCTTCACCTTCATAAGTAGGCAGAATTGTGTGGTATTGCGTAGGTATGGGTGACCTTGTGTTTTGCCTGTATTCTTTCACATTGTACAGTGTGTTGTCGCGCTGTATTGTGTGTATGTGTGTGTGTGATAGTGATGGTGGTGATGGCGGTAGTGGTGGTGATTGGATGAGCGAGCGCATAACGGCGACTGATAGGCGTTTGATAAGGTCTTCGTAGGGTTATTAGTCATACATTGTCAGTGATAACGATGAGCCAGCCACATCAGCGCCAAAATTGTTGGTTGCATTGTGTTCGCATTGAAAACATAACCAATGGGAAAGACTTTTCCCATTAACAAAGGGAGATCGGTTTTTTTGCAGTCCGGAAACAAAATATTTTCCTTACTTTTAGAGACTATCAAGCGATATTGAACGCTATGGTAGCTAAAACACCAATTATGCAACCAATGGTTGGCACATCGGCCGGTTCAACTCTTCCTACAGGATTCCCTACGGCAATGTCTGTTCCGGGCACATCATCAACGACTGGAGCACCTGCTCCTGGACCAACGGCTCCATCAACGTCTGCAACAGCGACAGCAGCTGATCAGCTGGTACAACAACAGCAGCAACCACAGCAGAAAGTAGAGGTGAGGACGATGGGTGTAGTGATAATGAATGGATGCAGAAAATATTTTTCGATTGGTGGAAGGGGAGCGAGGCGAACACATGTGCTTTACTTCCATATTAAACGCTTATGGTAGAGTTATAAATCTTGAAAAAAATCATCAAAGTATTTTTGACAGTTTAAAAAAAAGAAATGGACATCTCTCCTGGAAATCGGAGAAAACTGCATGGACAGGTTTACTTTTTATGAGCAACCATAATCTAGCTACATTTTACAAGGTTTGACTTTTTTTATTATTGCCAAAATTCTAAGAAAATAGTATATTGCTGAGGTTGCTAGAATAGGGTCACCTTTTGATTTCTTTAAACGATTAATTTGCAGGACAAAGAAGAACAGTTAACGTGATTGTTTGACGAAATGTGTAGGGAAAGTATAACAACTGGTCTTTATCAAGAGAAACCAGCTCTCTCAGTTCTTGTAATTTCAAATTTATAAAGACGAATGGATTATGGAACGCATTGTTTGCGCTGATTAGTTTCATAAAATTGAAAACAACTAGGACAAAGCAAACAACGAATGTTTACTGATGATTCAACATGCATAGGACTTTTTGTGAGAATTACAAAAATTGCTCACCATAGCCAAGTTGCTCTAATTTTGAGATATTTTTCTCATGATCAGATAAATTGGTTCAGAAATCGCTAAGCAAAGGTTATAGTTAAGAAAGCGGTAAAGCACGCTTCTTTAAAAGTAATTTCGAAGGATTATTATCTTTTTCTATTTATGCTACCGGTATGAGCTATAGGCCGATGAAAAGCAAT